TCCGGGCTGCCCCGCGATCCCGGCTCAGCAGCGAGGAGGAGCCCCCCCCCCCGCCGGTCCCCTCCAGCTCCCTTGCCCCACCGCGCCGCGTCACCCACGCCCCGGCGGCGGCAGCAGCAAGGCCCGGAGCCTGCCTCCCCACACACAAAATGGCGGCCGCCGCTTCCCCACCGCCCGCTCGTCCGCCATAGCCTGCACCTCGGCGCTGCAACCAATCAGATGCCGCCGTGACGCGATTTAGCGACTTGGAGGAGCCAATGGAAATGAGCGTTGTAGAGGAAGAGGCGGGGCGCGCCGCCTCCGGCGGGATTATGGATTTTGTAGTCCAGTCCTGCAGAGCGGCGGCGCAGCCTGTGGCGGCGTAGACTCGCTCTCCCATGACAACCGGGACCCCACACGGGGAGGGACACAGCCGGGCACGGCGCGTTGCCATGGCGATGAGCGGGACCGGGTCTCCCGGTGGCCGCGAGGGGCCGATCCTGGGCCCCGCCCCGCGCTGTCGATCACCCCCGGGCCCAGAGACACGGTACAGGGGCGTCCGCCTCCTGCAGGCCCTTCCCGGGCTCCTCTGAGCCCTCGGTTGGGCGGTGAGGGCTCCCCGGAGCCGGGAGGAGACAGCGAAACGCGGTTCTGGTGCTGCCCGGCCTGCTGGTGGCACAGCGGGGAGAGGCCTGGCTGAGGCAGGAGGAATGGGGAGGTACCAGCAGGGTGCTCGGCTCGAAGCTGGGGGAATCCCAGCTCCAAAGGGGGCGTGTCCCGGCTTCAGAGTGGGGGTCCCGGTTTTCAGGGGGGGTGCCCAGCTCTAAACCCGGCCTTGTGCTTCAGCCATCTGGCGCTTAACTCTTTAATGCCTTTCTCCTCCTCCAGAACCGTTCCCGAATGGCAGTTGGCAGGCACGGCTCCCCCTAGGGAGTGTGGCCTCTGGCGCGGCCAGAGCTGAGCTATCTCGGGGGTGAAAACTTGGCGAGAAACCCCAGATTGTGTCCCTGCCCATTTCCAGCTCTTCTGCCGCCTCTTTACAGGTTGAGCCTTGGCTCCATTTTGGCTCTCCAGGAGAGGAGTGACCCAAGAGTGAAGCTGATTATCTTTTCCGGGTGTTGAACACGGATGTTTCCCAAAGCTTCCGTTCTTCCCTCTGGTGCTGGTAATGCTCCTTGCAGGCAGCCTCAATGGCTGCACCGTGGTGGTGCTCAGGCTGCAAGTACATAAAGGAATAATTTGTATTTGGGGGATCAGGACATGTAAAAGGCAAAAGTAAGCACTAAATTTTGCATAAAGGCTAAAAAAAATAAAGGCTTTCAGAGACTTTCTATATGAAGGCAGACGTCTTGGATTTTCCTTTCTTGGAGGGAAGTGTGGGGTAGAAAGGCCCCAGGCCGCGTCCCAGTGTGATTTGGGAAGAACAAGGCAGGGAATCAGACAAAGAGTTTTTTTCCTGGCCTTTAAACCCAAAAATCAAAACTCTTCCACCCCCCCACCCCCCTTTCCTTTAAGATGTTAATCGATGGAGGTTAATTATGCTGAATGTTTCCTGCTGTAGAGTTGGTTTTGGAAATGGTCTGGCTGATCCTGAATGGAAAAGGAGATGGGGAGATGTTAAATGGTCCAGATCTTGGGATGTGGTTGGGGAGGGAGGGGACAGATCCACATCTTGCCCCCTGCCCATCCCAGCATGACCCTGCTGTAGATACAGGGAACAGTGACAGGCTGATCCCTGAGCTGCTGATGCCAGAGGCTTTTGTGGTTTACAGCTCTGGACTGATTCCTTTCCTCATGGTTTTCGGTCTTTTCCAGCTGTGTTTTAGCCTCCTCCACACCCTGGGGTGTGCAGCTGAGCACAGCCAGCCAGGTTTAGGCACAGCCATCACCCTGTCTGCCATCCATGGGTCCTCCTGCCCTTCATGCTACCCAAAAACTTGGGTGCTCTGACCCTTTCCACACTTCTCAGAAGTATTTTGTGAGGACGCTGGATATTTGTACAACCCCAATCATGCAAAATTGGCCTCTGCAGGACAGCAGACCCAGCTGGCTTTGCCCCAAGCCTTTGGGCAGACTTTGCAGGGGGCTGAATTTAAACCAATGATGAGGGGGCTTTCTCCTTCCAGAGCAGTTCTGGGTCTGGATTTGCAGTGGAATGGAGGTTTATCACACCAACTCCCCTGTTGGGACCAGCCTGAGCTTGAGCAAAGCCTCCAGTAGCTGGGGCACAGGTGGAGCAAGGGGAGCTCAATGCTGTTGACTGAGCTCTGCAGAGAGCCCTCCCCACCCCAGCCCTGCTCCCAGCTAGGCCCCTCATGGCACTGGTGCTGCCTGCCCTGATTAAACACTGTTGTTGGGAGCCCTTGGGTGCCCTCACATCCCTGTGCTGTCCCCAGGGCACCCCAAAGCACAGCTTGGCACCCCTCTGTTGCCCCATGCTGTTTGCTTTGCTCTCCTCTCTTGAAGCCAAAGCTGATGTGGAACATCCCCCAGCACCAGCTTGGCTTTCCCACTCACTTCCCACAGTCTGACCATTCAATTCCCAGCACCCAACACCCAGATCTCCAGCTCCCAGCACTTAGCACCCCAGCACCCATCAATCACATCATCCAGCTTCCAGCACTCGGCACCTCAGCACCCCACACCATGCTCCCAGCACCCATCCCCTAGGACATCCTCACAGGTGATATGGCATAGGGACTGTGTCCTCTCCCTGGGTGATGGGGAGCAGGAGCTGTGAACCCCCAGGATCATCAACCCATCCCTCAGGCACACTGGGACCACAGACAGATCCCAGACTCAACCAGGTGACCGTGTCCCCACAAGCCACTCTGTCACACAGAGTCAAGGTCCACCAGCTGAACCCTGTGGTGGCACTGTTTATTGTAGGTCCTACAAAAAAGCAAAGATAGCTAAATCTGCCTAGTTCCCTGCACAAAGGGGACCTTGACTCAGCCCAAAGGCTAGGGGGGGCTACACAGGTGGCTGGAAGTGTTGGGGGGGGAGGGTCCAAGGGTGCACCCCATGGGGAAAATGAGCAGGTTTGGAATCGGGGGGTCACCTGGAAAACCCATCCCAGCTTTGCCAGGAGCTCCTCTGGGCAGATGGAGAAAACTTGATGACACAAGCCATGGATGCCTGGGTGAGAGTGCTAATGATTAATTAATGAATTTTATGAATTAATTGATTGTATAAAGGCACAAAAAGAGGATGTCCATGGTGAGTGGACATTCTGGAAGAGCCACCTTCTCAAACCATAAAGCAAAGTTGTGAGAAAGGGCCAGGGGTCAGTGGCTGTTAACTGTCAGTAATGAGATTCATTTTGAAGGCTGGAAAATATGGCAGGATGGATGGATGGATCTGCTTATCCATTCCTGGACCAGCCCATTTCTCCTTGATCCTTAAAATCCTTCGTCTTTTCCCGCTGGTGATGTTAACTCTGGGAAACTGCTCTTTTCCCCTCTCCTGGCCTGTTCCTACTCGGTTTTGCTGCCCATCCCCAGGATGAACATCAGGCCAACACTGACATCAAGTGGCTGCTGGGATCCCTCGCACACCTTGGCCGTATCCTGCCTCTCCCTGTGCGGGGGACAACCTAGCGTCACCCGCATGGCCTCATCCTGCCGTGGAGAGGGGTCCGGAGTAGGGTCAGGAGCCGTGGCCAGTTGTACTCGGCCGGGTCTCCATCACCTGTCATCACGCAAGCACGATGCAGGCAGCTGGACTCCATCACCACCCCACTGCTGTCCTCAGCTGGGCCATCACCATGTCCTACTCCTGTCCCCGCAGGCCCGGCCACGCAGTCGATATCCCAGCAGGGTGAAACCAAGAGTGCTGACAGCATCACCAAGCATGGAGCATCCACTGCATCCCTCACCCCCGGGTTGCTGGTGGGGACCCCCTGGACATGGCATCCCCATCCTTGTGGGTGGCAAGGTCATGGTGACGGGTGAGCGGTGAGGTCACAGTGGCCCTGCCACCGCTGGGGACACTTGTCCTTGACTCCCTGCAGCAGCTGTGGACTTTGTGCCGAGTGGCGGCGGTGCCACGTCTGCCGGGGCTGGCAGAGCCCCAGGTCACCATGAGATCTGGCTTCAGACAGCAGGTAACACCAGGGTGACATCCCCTCTGCTCAGGGTGATGCTGTGACATGGGGGTCCCCGGGGAGGATGGTGTGTTTGCCCCCCCCGGTGCTGCTGCCCCATCCACAAACCTAGGGTCAGCTCCAGGAGGAAATCATGGTGTTACTCCCATTTTAAAGCAGGGGAAGTGAGGCATGGTAGTACCAAATGGCTGTGCTGCCCTCCTTCCAGGGAATAAGGGCTGGAAAAAAACATTTTTCCTCCAAACTACTGGGCTCAGAGGCCCAGAAGAGTTTTGCAACACCCCATTCACCTTCATCCCCACACCCGAGCCTGGGGCTGAGCTCAGCCAGGGAAGCTCAAAGCCCAAGATGGGGTTTGGAGAGAAGGATGGCTCTGGTGGGATATTGGCTGCAGGTGGGGCTGGAAATGGGATAGCAGTTGAGGGTGCTCTGCAGGAACCCACCCATGGGTGGGAGAGAAGGTGGAGGTGAGGCTTTTGAGAGGCTGTGAGTCTGGATCCATGGCCTGAGGGCAGCACAGGGCTGAGCTCTCTGCTGCGTAATGAGGTATGTCAGGTCTCTGCAGCTTCCCTTTGGGGTTTCCCTGCCCAAGCCCCCATGCTGCAAACCTGTGACCCTCCATGCTGCCAAATGGGGTGTCAGGGGGTTTGGGACTGTGGTTCTGGGCATGGTTTGCGGGAGGACTCAGTGATACTGATGCTGGTTGTTTATCGCTCAAGTCCGGAAACTCACTGGGAAGGAAAGGGAGGGGAGAGCCGGGGCTGTTCCAGTACTGAAGCAGAACAGATATTCCCGGGTGTACCCAGAGAGAGCCCCAGTGTGTCCCCATATGCATAGGCCCAATGGTCCTTGACCTCCAACTTCACCCCTTCATTCCCCCTCCAGCTCTGTGGTGGCTCAGAAAGATCAGGGCTTGGCACAGGACTGGACAGTGACAGGTCAGTGCTATGGGGTTGGGGCTTGGGTGGTGCTACATTACACCCTTGGGTGTCATCATTCTGTCCTAACCTTAGCGTAGACAGAGTGGGGAGATGATGTGTATAAGCATACAGGTCCTTTGCCCTAGGAATGAGACTTCCTGTGGATTTCCTGGCTGATGCAAGACTAGGCATGCGAAAAACCTTGTCCTTGAGCTAAGGTGCTGCTGCAGAGGTTGTCCCTAAGAAGGGACTTTTCTTTAGCGTGTTTGGCCCCTTGCTGGGTCTCTTTGGGTCCCTCAGGACATCAGCTGTTATGGACGGAAAGTGTGTGTCTGTATCTGCCATCAGATGTGTGTAGGATGGGGAATGCAGGCAAGAGTGGATGGATGCTGGAGGTCTCCCATAGCAGGTAGAAGGTGTCCCCACAGCCGGAGCGGACACGTGTGCATCGCCTCAGCACCCCAACCCCAGCACAGGGCTGCCGGGAGCCTCAGGGCCACATCCAGCACCCGTCCTGACCGCACAAGCACCCAGGGAGGAGCTGGTGGTGCCACCATGTCCCAGGCAGAAGGTACGGCTAAGCCCTTGGTCTGTCGGGGGGGAGGCTTAGGCTTTGCATTGGGACCCCAGCGCTGGTGTGATGCTTCCAGTCAGCACCAGTCTCCATGCCATCCTGTTCATGGCCCCGTTTTTCTTGAATTTTTGATCCTAAAAGCACATTTTCCCCCCAAACCTGCTGCTCCAGGAGCTCTCAAGGTAGCAGCTCTTGTCCCCATCTATCTCCCCCCGGTCCCATCACCTCCCATAGGGAGGGTGGTAGAACCTGGATGGAGTTGAGGGTACAGAAAGAAGCACTGAGGAGGAGTGCAGGCAGGTGGTCCCCAAAGCATGAGAGATCCATACATGGACCACTCTGCTCCATCCCTCCCAGAAGGTGAGGAGACGTTTGAATACTGTGACGTGGTCATCAACAGCCAGGAGCAGGTTTCAGATGTGTACACACAGCTGGAGAAGCTGGGAGAGTAAGTGGAAGTCCAACATCCCCACCACTCGAGGATGGTCCATGGCTGTCCATGTGCAGCTCTGGCTGGGATGCAGATTGGGGGGGATGGCTCCTCCATGCCTCAGAGGAAAGTTTGGGATGGTGTTCCGCCTGCAGGAAAAAGCCACTGGAAAAATCCGGGCTGGGAAATATTTCCGGACACAGACAGCGAAGGAGAAGCAGGCGGCTCGGGATGAGGTGGAGCTCATGAACCTGCTGCATCACCCGCGCCTCGTGCAGTGCCTTGCTGCCTTCCAGGGCCCTGCCGAGCTGGTGATGGTGATGGAGTAGTGAGTGGGGGCACAGAGCTAAGTTTGGGGGTAGGGAGGACAGTGCTGGACTTTGCCAGGGAGAGCATGAAGGTGGGAAAAGGTCCCTGCACCATGGATGGATGGGAAACCTGCAGTCCCTGGAGATAAGGCTAGTGAGATCCTCTGCAGTGGGGCTTCTCCTTGGGTCTGGTGGCCCCCAGCAGGTCCTTGTGCTCCCCCAGTGTGGCAGGTGGAGAGCTCTTCGAGCGCATTGTGGACAACGACTTCGAGCACACAGAGCCCAGCAGCACCCAGTACCTGCGGCAGATCCTGGCAGGGCTGCAGTTCATGCATGGTCAGGCCGTCGTCCACCTCGACCTCAAACCTGAGAACATTGTGTGTGTCAGCCCCAGCAGCCACTGGCTCAAGATCATTGACTTTGGCTTGGCGTGGAAGCTGGGTGAGAAGAATGGGGGGTTTGGGGAACCAGGGCAGGGACTGTCACCATCACAAGACCTGATCTTGCTGGGCACATCAGCAAGGAGCTTGCCAGCCTCCTGCCTGCACCTCTGGGACAGGCAACGCTATGGCACTAGATCAGGGCCCTTCCTGGTGACCATAAGATGCTCTGGGGAAACCTACATGTTCCCAGCCCCGCTTCTGATATCAAGACCACCAAGACCCCTGTGCCTGTGGGTGCCCAGCACCTAGAGATGCTCTAGGAAAGCACCAAGACCTGCAATGGGCTCTGGAATGTGGCATCCACCCAGCATGTGTTGGTGTGTAGCTGGGCTGCCCTGAGGAGATCCCAGCCAGAAACCTGCCCCATGCATCTTCTCTGCAGCTCCAGACACCCCTGTGAAAGTGTCACATGGCACCCCTGAGTTCATGGCTCCAGAAGGGGTCGCCTTTGAGCCCGTGGGCTTCGCCACAGACATGTGGAGTGTTGGTGTCATTTGCTACATCCTGTGAGTGGCCTCTTGGGAACAGCAGGTTGGGATGGAGAGGGCTGGGCTGTCACTGACGTCCTTGTGCCACCTCTCCAGGCTGAGTGGGGTGTCCCCCTTCCAGGGGGACAATGACATGGAGACACTAAGCAACATCACAGCTGTGCAGTGGGACTTTGACAAGGAGACCTTCTTGGAGATCTCCCAGCTAGCCAAGGACTTCATCAGCCAACTGCTGCAGAAAGACCCCCGGTAGGACCCTGGGGGGACGCTGAGCTGGAGATGGTTGGGTTTTGGGGTGCCAAAGGGACAGGCAGGGGAAAGCATTGAATGTGGTTAATGGAAGGGATACTCCATGGGGCCATGCCAGCAGATGAAGGTCCCCTTGTGACTGTCCCGTGTGCCCCCAGGTGCTGGCTCTCCAGTGTGGGGGCCCTGCTGCACCCCTGGCTGCAGCAGCCCCAGCCTTACAGCATGAAGGCACTGCCCAAGGAGAGGATCAAGCAGTTCCTGACCCATCGGAAGTGGCAGGTACCTGGAGGGCTGGTGAGGATGTGGAGATGGGGATGGATCTGGTGCTGGGGCTCACTGCTCCTGCTCTTCTCTCCAGAAAACAGGCAAAGCCCTGCTGGCCCTCAACAGGCTGACCCTGCTGTCCCAGAGCCTGGAGAGGAAAGTCTTGGAGACTCAGGATGAGGAAGGTGATGGCCCTTGAAGTGTTATCCACAGTGCACCCCATCAACCCATTCTCTCTGCTTTGCCATCCCCAACTGGGCTGCTTCCCTTTCCTAGTGTCACTAAACACCCAGCCGTGTCCCTGCTATGGCATTTCTGCTCCAGGCTAGCTTCAGTCCCTCCATCCTCATCCCTGAGGGGCAATCTCTAATGCAGCCTTGGGATGGGCACATCCAACTTTGCAGGGCTGGGATCTGTGTGTGATCAGGTCTCTGGAATCCAGAGCTGATCCCCACGGGTGCCACATGTGTTCCTCTAGCAGAGGGTGGAGGCTGAACTCTGCCAACTCCTCACCATTCCCTCTCTCCATCTGCCCGCAGACCTGGGCTGCAGCCCAGAGGAGGACCAAACCTCTGGATCTCAGCTCCAACGAGGTTCCAGCATATCGGAGCTGCTGCCAGACAAAAAGGAGGAGGAAGACAGGAGCACTGCAGCCACAGGGGAGGCAGAGAGCAGTGTCAGTGTGGCCATGACAGACCTAGACCACCTAGAGCTGCTGCTGAGAGAAGAGAAGGGACCAATGGGGATGAAACCTTCTCCAGCAGCTCACAGTGACCTGGCCAGCCTGGGGTGGACCCAGAGCCCAGGGTTCCTCTCCCATGGGTGAGGTCTGGAGTCCCATGTTCAGCAAGGAGCTCGTGCTCCTGTCTGCATGGCCCCCTGGGCTCGAGCTGTCACAATAAAGCACTGAGAATCTCTGTACTCCCTGTGTGCTCCTTTTTTTTCCCCACCCAAAATCACTGGGAAGGGTGGGGAAGAGCTGCCTGAACTGTGCTCACTCTTTGGGAGCTGGCAGTGGGTTCCCCCCCTGCTTGGGCCATCACCCTTGTCTTCTCCAGGAGAGATGCTGGCCCTGGGGACAGCTCTAGCAGCAGCCCTTGTCATCCTTTGTTTGTAGAAGTCTTTCCTCATCACAAAGCAGGGCTGGCATCATGTCCTGAGCACACAGGCAGCAGGAACCAGGGTGAGCCCTGGGGCCTCTAGTATCTACATTTCTGGTGCAACTTTGGGACCAGCAGGGCTGGAAGGGGCCCAGACCCTGCTGTGTGACCTCCGACCACCTCCTAAGGAGGCAGCTTGGGCAGCCACTGGTGTTTAGGAGCCCTTTCCTTTTACATGGAGTTCACAGCCCTCATCCTGGGAAGAACCATCCCCGGCACTGCTGCGTGCTGGGAGATATCCAGCTAGAATGGAGCTTGGTCTAGGGGTCCTGGTGAATGCCAGGTTGACTGTGAACCAGCAGCGTCCCCTTGCTGCAGAGCTGGTATATAACGCTGGGCTGCGTTTTGACAACGTGTTGCCAGTAGGTGGAGGGAGATTACTCTTCCACTTACTCAGCACTGATGAGGCCATGCCTAGAGGGCTGTGTCATGTTCTGCGTCCCCAGTAAAAGAGAGACGTGGACACAGTGGAGAGGGTTCAGTGGATGGTGGAGGGACTGGAGCACTTCACCTACGAAGAAAGGCTGAGAGAGTTGGTATTGGTCAGCCTGTAGAAGACTCCAGGGAAACCTTATTGTGGCCTTTCATTACTTAAAAGGGGCTTACAAGAAAGATGAGGAGAGACCTTTTTAGCAGGGCCTGTTGTGACAGGACAAGGGGTTATGGTTTGAAACTAAAAGAGGGAGATTCAGGTTGGATTCAGGCGAGGAAAAGATTCTTTACAATAAAGGTGGTAGAACACTGGCACAGGTTGTCCAGAGAGGTGGCAGCTGTCCCATCCCTGGAGCCAGGTTAATGATTGGATTTGATGATGTTAAAGGTCTTTTCTAACCTAAATGGCTCCATGATTCCTCCAGGGTCCAACCATGGCTCTTCAACAGCTGGGTGAGATGGCTCCAGACAGAGCTCACCTGCTTCCTGTTCCTCCCATGTTTTCAGCAGAAGCGGATTCACTGCTCTGAGTTGGAAGACAAACTCCTCAGAAACCAAGAAAAAAATTATTTTGTATTCTATCCATGGCTTTTATTTTCCCTTCCCAGAGCAACAGAGAGGCTGAGGAGCCCCTTTCTCCTCCACTGCTCTTCCCTTACTCCTCACATACATCATATCACAATTTTTGCTCATTATCTATTCCATGTTTTCCTCCTTACACAGATTCTGAACTCACACACATCCCTTGGGATCCAAGCCAACTGTGTTCAAGCTGCAGCTGATACACAAACACCAAGTTATGTATAATTAATCCTTGGATGAGCTATTTGTGATGTGACACCAAAATATTTCTGGTTGGGAACGATGTTTACCTTCATCTGTTTTTCAAGCTCTTTGCAGCTCTGAACCTCCATGTCCCAGGACTCCAGCCATGTGCTTTACCCCTAAATTCCTCTATTCTGTGCTGTAAAAACCTGCAGAAGAAGCTGATTTACCAATAGAAGTGACACATTTCTTCTCCTTCCACTGCTTCTCATGGCTTAACACATTAAAATGTGCACTTGAGAAGATGATGGGCTAAATGGAGAGTGGAGTTATACCTGGAACTCATTACAGCCACAAAGAAATTCAGCAGCACAGAAAACAGAAATCCAAGCTCAGCACTTCAGAAGTAAAGGAATTAAGATCTTGATACTTCCACCAAGAGAGAACCTTGGGTCAACCTTCACTTCAGCCACACAACTTCAGAGCAAGTCCTCAAACCATTAGAAATCCTCACCAAGGAACAAAGGAAGAGCCATGGCCTCTGGCAACCTTGAACGGTTCCCTCCCTGGTTCAGGTACCTCTAGGTCCAGCTCCTTGGAGGTATGTGAGGTGGGGTCAGCTCTCCAAATACTGTCAAGCTTCTGGAGCTTAATCCTTCAGTGCCAAGTTATCATGCTAAGCTTGGGTTTATTCTGAACTGTACAGTGTAGGTCTAGGAATGCTTCTTTGGATGAGCAAATATTGCCTGGATATCTCTAACATCAAGAAAACAGTATAATTTTTTAGAGCTGCAAATCCAGGTGTAAAAAAGGGTCTGATGTCCAGCTTGAGGGTTTCTCAGTGAATTGAACTTAATTAAGAAACAAACCTAAGTCTGAAGTCAACCTTAATGTAAAAAACTAATAAATTAGCCCTGGACACATATTGAAGATGATTATTGGAACAGGGTTTCTAGCATATTTTTAAGGATCATTACAGCAGGAAGCAAGCAGCTCCCATGTCATTGAAGTTGTCAGACAAAGGCCTTCATGTACTGCAAATCAAACACCAGAAAAGTGGTAAAAAGAGAGGACTCTGATGGGCCTTTGAGCAACCTGGTCTAGTGGAAGGTGTCCCTTGGGGTCCTCACAGGCTCCCTGCCCCACAGCAGAGTATGTCCTCAGCGTGGGACCTCTGGGTGAAAACCTTGGTCTTCATACATGGTCCTGGTGACATCTGCCCTCCTGGGACTGTCGGGGTGACCATCCCTGTCCCTTGAAAACCAGGATGAGCATATTAATTGCAAAATATTTAACAAGATGCTGAAATATTTAATGAACAAAGAGATTTTAACTGCAATTTTGAGCTTTGGAAAAGTGGAACAAACCCAAATGTGGGTGACCCCAATTTTGGTGCCGCTGAGCTGCCTGCTGCTCCCCTCTGGCCTCCCAGAGCCCCAGAGATGACAGAGAGGATGCAGCATAGTGCCAAAGGGAGCTCAGGAATCCATGGCAGCTCCTGATCAGGTTGTGCATCCCCTGGTTGAGGGTTTAGGGTTTGCAGAGGTCGACCAAACAGGTCCAGTACGTTCCTCTGGTCTCTGCAGTGCCAAGCGCCTGTCCCAGCACCTCAGCTGGTGTTGCCAAACAGGAGATGCTACGAGAGCTGGATAGATGCAGCCCCAGGGCTGCGCGAAAGGTTCCAAGATCTAGCCTCTACCCATCCCTCAGCACATCTATCCTCAAGTCTTTAATTTCACCAAATCTCAGTAAATCTCACCAAATCGTAGTAGAATAATGTGCTTCATGCCCCAGCATTGATGCCATGGGGAAATGCCTTGCTCTGTGCCAGCAGGCAGCCATCACGAATTTCATGTGGAGGAGGTGACACCAGCTGCTGCAGCCCCGACCATGTGTGGTGGGTGCTCTGCTGAAGGTGATGAGTGGTGTGGCTCTCCAGGGACTGCCATCACCATGTGTCACCTGCCCATAGCACCCTTGGGTGAGGTGGTTCTGCTCATCCACCTTTGTCATGGCCCAGCAGCAGCACAGGAGTAACCCAGGCTGCAGGATCTGCCCACACCGTGCCAACCTGGCACCTGGCAGCCCCTGTCCAGGGTGGGGTGCCCAGAGGTGCAATGAGCTGGCTTGGCCTCAGCTCTCCCTCTTGTGGAGGCTAAAGTGGGGAAAGAGGGAGCCTGACACCTTCCGGCTGCACCCCTCGCTCCAACTGTCACCCTAGAAAATGAAATAATAGAACAAAATTTGAAAGTAAATGGAATAAAATAAATAATAGTATAAAATTAATAGGAAAAAACAGGATAAGGAAATAAAAGAACAAAATAAATAATAAAAGTTTTTAAAGTAAACAAAATAAGGAAATTAAATTAATAAAGTAATATGATATAAAAAAGGTAAAGGATAAGGAAAAAAGAATAAAATAAAAATAATAAAATAAAAATAAAATAACACGAAATAAAAATTAAATAAAATAAGCTAAAATAGAAAGAATTAAATAAAATAAATGCATAAATTAAAAATAAAGCCAACTAAATGTAAAATAAAATATATAAAATGAAAGTTACATCTAAAAAATAGAATAAAATAATAAAATAAGATTAAAAATAAGAAAATGAAATTAAGTGAAATAATAAACTTACTAAAATTAAAATACTAAATTAACAAATGAAATCAAATGCTAAGGTCGCACAAGCTGACAGCAGCTGGGACAGGGCAGGAGGCAGCGGGCAGCGGTGCAGCCCCGCGCTGCGGTCCGAGCGCCGGGGTCGGTTCCTGCTGCCGGGGCAGGGCCGGTGAAGCCCTGCCCGCCGGGGCGGGGTGGCGGGTGGGGGCAGGCGTTAGCAGCGCGATAACGCTCCGGCGAAGTTGCAAACGGCTAAGAGCAGCCTCGGAGCGGGGGGAGGAGCAGCAGCACCCCCGAACCCAGCCCGGCCATGGGCAATGCGGCCGGGGGCATGGAGGGGGGGCCGTCGGGGGGGGAGAGCCGCGACCCCCGGCCTCCCTCCGCCCCCCCGAGCGCCACCGCACCGCCCGCCCGGCAGCCCATGCCCGCCGTAGCCGAGCTGGAGGAGCGCTTCGGCCGCGTCCTGGTGAGCGGGGACGGGGGGACCCTTACAGCTGCGACAGTCCCGTTATCACAGCATTTGATTCGGTTATTAATTATTATCCCTAAGATTAATAATAATTGTTCCTCTGTCACGCCTGGTCATGCTCGACCTGCCCCACAGCGGGGCTGCCGCTCATGGAGGGGGGACCCAGCCTGAAATATCTGAGTTGATCCCAGGTCTCCATGGCGGGAGCCGGCCGCGGCTGGGCCAGGCAGCGTGCTGCAGGCAACCGGTGCTGTGGGTGGAAAAGCCTCATCCTCATTACTGATGCTGTTATCCCCTTGGAAAAACCACCGGCATCGCTCCCAGCCTCCCCAGCTCCGGCTGCGGGATGAGCGAAGGGCGATGCCGAAGCCGCGTTCCCATGGGATGGCAGCTCGGAGCTGCAGGGGATCAGCTCTTGCCTGTTCTCCTCCGTCCTTGAGCGGGGCAGCCGGCCGTGACCTTCGCACCAAGC